TCCTATATGTTAAGCACGCTTCTTAAAAGATTTCATAAATAAAATTATTACGAGTAATGAAATGTATTAGTATACGATGCTGACCTTTAGCATATTTATTTTTAAAAAAAATTAGAAAAGAGTTAAATATACAGATCAAATTACCACAATTCCTTCAATTTGGAGATGAAATAAGGTGAGTGGAGGCTGTGTATCTTCCTCCCTCCATTAATGAAGTAATATAAATAAAGGGAATGATGCATCTCCTCTCACTCTCGCCTCCTTTCCGTCCAAATCTCCGAATCCAAGCTCACTGTAAGTCTGCAATTCAGACTCTCCGTTATCCCTCTTTCGCTGTCGATCAGCACTGCAGAAACACCATCTGCCGCCGACAACTGTGCATCAACTACATAGAGGGAGCCTCGTGGCAGCGCGCCATCAAAGCGTCAGTGTCACAGATTTGGTTTTCCTCTCCCTAGCGCGAAAAACGGAAGCCACAGATCTGGGTTTCCTCTCCTTTGCTTAGTTGCTCCTCCGTCTCTCCTCTCAAAAGGCTTCGTTCTCTCTCTCTCTCCTTCGAGTGCGATATTATGGGCTGTTGGGTGGTGACTTTAGGAGTTTTAATTTTTTATAAGTTATAAATTAAAATTTTTATGGAAAATAAAATTTAAAAATTATTTTTAAAAATAAAAAAAATAATAAAAATGAATAAAAAAAATTATGAAAAAATTATGAAAATTTTAAATTTTTATTATTTAACATCTTTTTAAAGTTAAAAAAAATTTAAAAATATAAAATTTTAAGAGAAAACATCTAAACTTATCAAATAAAATAATATAAAAAAACTGAAGCTCTTGTGAGCAGAGTCAAACAGGCCCATAGGTTTTTATATGGTGTCTTTTTCTGAATTTGCTTCTGATTCATCTGTTTGTTCAATGTCATTGTCAGCATTCCATATGATTTTGAATTTCTGGGTTACATTATGTTTATGCCTCAATTGTTACCGACCTCAAAAGTGAAAAATTAGATATATTTTTATAAAGACGATGCATTTGACAAAGAAATTGCGCACATGATTCCTGGAGGGGAAGCCATGGAAGACCATTTCCGTTCTTTCTGGCTTTGAGCTCTTCTCTAGTCAACTTCATTCAATTCATGGCTTCAAAATCTACAGACAGTTTACTTCTGTTCCTCGTTCTTGTTCCTACATATCAAATCCAGTAGCCGAAGCTCAGCAGAACACCTTTGGAAGCAAAATCATGGACTATGGTAATTCGAGATCTGAAAGGTCTGGCCATCTTCCCATATTCTTAATTTCTAGCCATCATTTCCTATATGATTTAAATTTGATGGCATCATCCATCAGCAATTTTTTTTTTTTCCTGTTGTAAAGTTACTAGAGAAAATTACTGCGGTTGGCATTAGCAGCTGTTAGTTTTAACATTCAGAACATGATGATCCTGAAGTAGCACTCTGCACTGGGTCCCTGCAATCAGTGGAGATGGAATGATTAAGCTTAAGTAACATTGGTGGGACGCAGATACCAGAGTCTAGCAGCAAGAAGTGCGGTGACTAGCCTGGGAGTGCTGGAAAATTCTTGATAGAGCAGATTTTGACATTTGAGGAATTAATATGGTTCCTGTGACAAATTATTTATATCCATGCACTGGACTGGATAGATGACCTATTTATATTTTCAGTTTTGATATTTTCTATTGCCACATGTTGCAGGAAACTACTGCTGTCTGTGCTCTTCCTTCGAAAGTGAATGTTAATGGTTTTTTTTTTTTTTTAATAAATTTTCTAAGAACATAGGTTAAAGTTCATTAATTATAAAATTTATAATTAATTTTATATAAATTTTCATACAATATTCAAATAAAATACAATATAAAATATAAAAATATAATATAATATAATATTTATATTCAAAATTTGTAAAAAATTATGAATCTAATATAAAAATTTATATAAAATTAATTATAAATATTTTAATTAATAAATTTTAAACTGTACTCTTATGACATATATTAAAAAAATATTTTTAATTTTTTTTGCCATCTCTCTACATTTCAGTGTACTTCCATTCAGCAGCTTGCAACATAGAACTGGCCAAATTGAACTCAATTTGAAATTTGACCCAACCCACGTAGCGTTATTGGTTTAAGGTATCAATGTAGATTTTAATATGACCTAAATCAAAATGATTCAAACTTAATTAAGTTGGGTTAGGGTTGGATCAGATAAATTTGAATTGGATCAAGGTGGATCACATAAATTTGAATTGATTCAAATAAAATTAATTAAAT